GCGACTTCTGAGACATACTACTGTGTTTTGCAAGCAGAATTTTTCAGCTATGTTTCCTATTCCTATAATAACAATAATAATAATAATAACAACTAGTATTTCAGAACTGCCAACATCAGACTGATAAAACTATGCAATAATGTTTTGTATCCTTCTTCCTGGAGTTTTTGTTATTTTGGAAAAGTATAGTTCTTCGGTTGGTAATTTCTTTGAAAGTCACCTGTATTTAGAATGAGTACAGAAAAAATACCCACAGTAAATTCATTTAAGCAGGCATATTTAAAACCCCTATTTTTAAATTTTAAACAGACTTTTGAAGAGCTTTTTAAGGGGGACAAATCCTGTATACCTTACTCCATATGTGTCTCTAACGAACACTGATCGATCAAAGCCAGAACACTATGATCTTTTAAATATATACAATAAAGCGTATTTCTAAATAAAACAAATAACAAAAGCAGCAATCAGATGCACTTCCCAGCATGTTGTCAAGTCAAGTACTCATACAGTTAGAGTTAGATTCAAAACTCGCAAGTATGGTAATGGAGAAAAGGTAACTAACCAAAAGAAAGTCTGCAGTTTGGCTGAGGCTTAGCCTGTCCCAAGGGTTATACACTTGATATATGCAGTTTTGGTTAGCACTTCCCTTGAATTCAATTCTGAATGTGATAAGCCCCAGTAAGTCTCATTTAGCATTCCGTCTAATAAGGAAATTGAAGAGAAATTTAACTGAAAATCATGGCATACAAAGAAAAGAGAAAAAAAATAAACAATGAAGTTATTTCTATTACTGCAATACTCGTATTATTTCATGACGCTAATGTGGCCTATTTTAGATCATCTATACTTTTCTTCTGTATTACTAACATATAGCTACCATTCCTTTGCAAGGGTTTAATTATACTCATTGAAAAGGAGTAAAAAAGCAATGTCACAGTCATAACTGTGGCATAGGAATCCTGCATAAGGAAAGATAAAGCAAACATTTGTACTCTACAGGTCTTTTTCTAGGATGAATAGTTTCTGCTAAAATGATGCATGTGAAAATATATCTTTTTAATTTTGCTTTGTTAAATGTCTATTAATTAAATGTGAAATGATGTTTTGTAGTTTTCAGGGTTAATTTTTGCAATTATAAGAATCCCTTCAAATGTACAGAATGTAACTTTAACATTCTACATTTCTTCCATTTCTGAAAAAATATTAAGACAAATAAAGAAAGAGTTGTGCCAATGTACATTTCTGTCTGCCACTCAGTTTAATACCCAAAACTTTCAATTCAAAATAAAAGAGGCCAGTTCTTGAAAAAGGGATCCATTTGTCTCTGAGTTTTCAAGAAACATAGGATATTTTTTCTACTTTAACTATTTTAGATGCTGTATTTGTTCAAAGATATGCCTTACCTTTTGCCTTTCCAATACTTAGGAAGTATTATATAGTTATGGATACAATGACAATTCTGTGGAACATAAAACCAAATATACTTTATTTAAGGCTGTGTTTCAAAGGCTTTGTTTTTATGTCTTTGTGAGGAACAGAAAAATATTCATTTCTATAAGACTTTTAATGAGCCTTCTTACTGCTTGTCCAGATTTTACATACTGTCTATCGCCAGGGAGATTTTTTTCCCCTGGAGCTTTGTGATCTCTGTTATTGTTTATAAATCTTCTCATTCAAACAGTGTAATGCATTTCTCAGGGGATGTACCTATAGCTACCAGTTCACTATGTTCTACAAGGCCTCATGCAATGTCTGAGTCCAGATTACAATATTCTTATTGGCCTTGAGCCAATCTACAAAGGAAAATACAATTACATTCCAGAAGACTTCTAAATAAATTGTCAGATGAATTCAGAATTGCTACAAGACTCCAGCTGCTGTGTCAAATCAATGTGCACCCAGTGAGCTGGACAGAAATGAACTTCCTAGTAGCAGTCATATTAGGATATTCTAAAATTATCCCAGCATATACTTTTCATATACGCATGTGAGAACCTTCAGTTTGACATCGACATCAACAATTAATTTAACTAGGATATAGGCAGACCTGTCTGCAGCTCAACAACAGTGAGGAACAACTTAGGTTTTGACCATCTGTAAAGTACAGAGAAAGAAACAAAACAAAACCAAAATAGATAGATGTGTATGGAGCAGCCAAAGGCATGCTGTGCTGGATTAAATCTTTTAACATGCTACCTTTTGTTGTTGTCTACCATGGGAACAATGCCATTTAATTGTGGGATCAAAATCACACACTTACTGAAATACACATTCAAAAAAACCCGCAGAATAACCCACATATGACAAGAGTATTCCTTTGTCACCCATCTGTTACTCAGTGTTCAACTGAAAGAAATCTTCACTGGTTTCAATATTCTAGCTATGCCATCTCTGTGTTCCATCTGAAAACACTGAAAAACTGAAAAATATTGGTGAACACAAACATTTCCAATCTGCCTTCTCCCCATGAATTTGAATACTAGTTGGATTTCACAAAAAGCTTCTTATTTCACTGAAAATCAACATGATTTTCAAACCAGTTATATGCTGAAATTGTACATACTCTGAGGAAACCTGGGTGGATTGTCGTTGACATCAGTGAGTGTAATATTTACAGTTGTTGACCCTGACAGCCCTCCGACCTGCCCAGCCATATCTTTGGCTTGAATGACAACGGAATAATGCTCTCTGGCTTCCCTGTCCATGTTGTGCAAGGCAGTCCTGATGACTCCTGTGATGGAAAGAAAACAAACAAACAAAAGAAAGATCAGGGTTAGCTTGTTTGAACAAGAGGAAAGGCTGTGCATAACCTTTCTTTTCAGGAAAAGTGGATCATGGCAGATTTTCTGGAAGCACAAAGCTTTTCTAAAATCAAAGTAAGCTGGTTTAGTTGTCTGTGTCTTACATATATGTATGTAAATATATCTGTATATAAAAAAAAGCAATGCCAGATGCTGCTAAACAATCAACTTGTTTGAAGATATGATGAAATTAAAATCATGTATGTTAAACCAACCAAAATAATATAATTAATCCAAATATAACATTCCTAACAAGAAGGTACATTTCCAAAATTCCAGTGTTTTCTCATAGATTGTAACTGACTAAATAGCTACTTAACATTAAGGAATGGGAACTCTTAGCCCACTGGAGAAGACACAAATTCCTTTTTAACAGAAGTTAATTTCTAAATTAAAATATGATATACCTCTTAAAACTACCCAAAAGCTAAACTTTCTTATTTGTTAAGTCTCAAAAAACTATACTTTCTTATTTGATACATGTCAATCATCTACATTTATGTTCGTAAGTGTGACTTACTTAATATTTGTCTGTAAAGTAGAAGATAAGCTATTACTGTTTTTATTACAGTACAAAGAAAAAAACAAAACTAAGTGATTCCAAAATTCTATTAGTTTTTATCCATCACCATCAGAATTGTTTTTAACATTTAGTCAATTACACATGCAGAAGCAAAGATTACAACAAAGAAGGAACAGTCAACTCTGTGGGCTCAGTTTCAGTTATGGGTCATTTTTCATTTATGATGATGTCTTCAAACTAGGCCCCGCTACTTTCTCTGATCACAGAAACCTCATGTAGTTCAATAAAGGGAAATGTCAAATCCTATGCCAGGGAACCAGTAAATACTGTGGACAGAGTAGCTGGGAAGCAGCTTTTAAGAAAAGGACATAGGCGGTTCTCAGGTTGGACATGAGTTGGCAAAGTGCCCTTGCATCAAACAAGGCCAATAGCATCTCAGGCTGCATTATGAAAAGTTTTGCCAGCAGGTCAAAGGAGGGGATCCTTCTCCTCTGCTCGCCACTAACAAGGCCACATCTGGAATGCTGGGTCCAGTTGTGGGCTCACCAGTAAGGTGAGTATCAATGTCTTACCCAAAAGATTGTGAGGCACTGGAATAGGTTGCCCAAGGAAGTTGTGAATGCTCCAACCCTGGAGGAGTTTAAGGCCAGGCTGGACAGAGACTTGGGCAACATAGTTTAGTGTGTGGTGTCCCTGCTCATGGCAGGGGGGTTGGAACTAGATGATCTTAAGGTCCTTTCCAACCCTAACTATTCTATGATTCCATGATACTATGACTGGAGTGAGTTACATAGAAGTAAATAAAGAAATATGTGACATGCCAAATTTATGAACACTGAATTTAAAAAAAACCCTAAGACTTCAGCATAACTCGGCTTTGGACTCTTAAGCCAAGTGCCTGTTATAACTAGTAATAAAATACACCACAGAATGATTGGTTGTTGCTTCTGCATAATTTTTAAACATAAAATAGCCATTAACAGAAAGCAACTTAAGAGCCTTGCTCTTCCAGACAGCCTGCTGTACAGCATCATTCTCAAGGTTTTCAAGGTTTTTGATTCCTACAATCTTAGATGACACAAAAAGTGATTTCTAGAACATTATTTTTCTTTTATTTAAAAATTACTTTCTTTGCATATCTTCAGTTAAACCATTTAGTCATTATTACATACAAAATGGAAATTTTCATGTAGCTTATACTATTGTTTCTGTTCTATTTTGAAAACAAATCACACATATTTAACTAGAATTATCCATGAAGAATAGTATTTTAAAATATCGATGAAGATTCAGACTGATTTTAACACAGTTTTGCATTGTAAGTTCCTTTTCATCAGAAGCGTGGATTCTGGACAAACTAGCTAAAATTAGTGTATCAGTCTGCTTTAGTTCATCAGTGGTTTTTTTCCTTTAACTGATACAGTCAGGAGCAGAACTTCTTTTGTTTTTCCTCCCCCACAGATTTCACCATGATACACTGAAATTACTACAATTTATACATACTGTAACAGAAAGCTATGGTTATGTTTGGCTAAATGCAGTTTCATCAAAATATGGTCCACAAAATCTGGTTCTGAAAATTCATTTTAGGAAACAGGAAGATAGAAAGGTATTCAAATTAAAAATGTTCTGCTTTGACACTTTTCAAATAAATTGTTTCTGTTTTTCACATTGAAACCAAATTTGTTGGAATATTTTATGTTTATGTAAATTCATGGAGGGAGTATGGGACTTAAAAAAAAGAAAAACCTTTCCATTTCAATTTCAAACAGATCAAATTTTACATTGTGGAACATCTGTCTTCTGCACAACCCTCATAAATACATTACTCACATTTTTAAGCTAATTTAAACAAACAGAAAACCCTGAGTTAGAATTACTTTCCTCTTCCTTTTTGCTTCAAGGGGCATGGTACTGAATCAATGCTCGCAGACAGTTACTGAAGATTGGTGGATGACTAATCATTTGATCTTTCCCACTTGCATCAGATTCCTCTTTTCTGATAACAAAATAAAGGAAAATCGTGAAGTTTTTAATTCCAAAAACCTGTATCCAAAGTTTAGAATAGGATAAACTGGTTTTACACTGAAGGACAGGAGATACATACATACACCCTAAGATTAGATCATCAATATGAGGCATGTAACTATCACACAGACCTTAATGCTCTATCCTTGTCACTAGCAGCTCCACCAACTGCACTGGCAGTATACCATTAAAATCATACATCACTCCAAAGTTGTCTATTGAGCACAAAAGGTATAAGGGGAACCAACTTTCTTGGTTTCCTTTTTCGATAAGATAATATGAGATGCTCCAGCAGTTTCTTTTAAAGTAGGAATTGCCCTTGAGTATCTTCAGTATACTTGGCAGGGGCTCCTACACATCCCACAAGAGGACAGGAATTTAATATTAAGGAAGACATCTCCCTGTCTAAAATGGTGAGAAAAGTGTGAAAGAAAACTGTCACAGGCTTTTTAAATCTAAATGCAGCCTTAATTTTGCCTCATATTTGTTAGGCAGCACTGCAACCCTGTTAACTGACTGCTTTTCAGCTCTGTTTCCAGTATTTATTCACCTTTATTAAGAAAGTAAAGCCAAAAAAAAAAAGAGATGTAGACATCATTATGGGAACACCCCACCCAGTTTCTGTGGTTTCTGGTACTAGGCAAAGAATTTTTAACAGAAGTTTGACTGCTATGTCAAAAACCACATACAACACGTGTCTAAATTTATTCACCTCTACATCACACCAATTTGGGGATTTTTTTTTGTTTCTTGCTGGGTGGTTGGATTTTTTTTCTCCTGACAATTTCTACTTTCTTGGAAGACACATTTTATGATTTGAATTAATCTTCCTTGACCACAGACAACAAGAAACCTAACTACATTTCAGGTGAGATTTTATTACCAGCTTTTCTGATGACAACTTTCTTTTCTTCTCCCCTCCCCAGACTTATATCACGCTGGTGATTCATCCATGATTGACTAATAGATTATTCTCCTCAAATGACACCTCCAAGTAAACGAGACGAGTTACTGTGGTATTACAAAATATCTTGAGTTAGAAGGGATCAAGTTCAACTCCCTGCTCCTCACAGGACTAATTAAAACTAAGCATCATCCAGATAGTCTTAAAATTAGTCCTGCAAAATGTCTGTTACTATATAATAATATTATATGTCATTATGTTCTTCTTGCTCTTGCCCTCAGAGACATAAGCTATTTCCTCTGTATTGACAATTCCTCATGACTTTTTGCAATCAGGTATTTCTTCATGACCGTACTACATTTATCCTCAAACCATCAGAAAAAACTGACTGAGAAGATCATTGAGATAAAAGATGGATACGCCTACTACTGTTGATAGCTCGTTTTCTTTCCTTTTACCCAAAGCCTCTGAATTTAAGAAAGCCCTGAAAATAAGTTTATTCTTGGCAAGTTGTAGTTCCTTCTCCACTCAGGCTCTCTGAAATCATT